ATATCCATATGTATTTACTAAGTAGATAGAGACAAGAAAATCCCACAAGCTCTTGGGTCAGCTAGACTGACTAATGCAGTGTCAATGAGACCTTGTCCCAAACAAAATGGAAAGGTTAGGACTGGCATCCTAAGGTTGTCCTCTGACATCCACACTCACCCCCCTGTACTTCCCCACATATACACAGTAAATAATTAATAAAAAAGTACTGGGACAACATATGCAAAAGAAGGCAGCATGTATGAGAGACAATACACACATGTGTATTGTGTGCGTGTGCCCAAGCGTGGTCAGAAGTTGAAAGGATCTTGCTTGATTCTGTTGCCCATATGTGGTCAGAGGTCTAGAGAATCTCATCTGGGTCTGTTGCCTGGTCTATTCTAGAACACTCCAGAGGTTTGGAAGAGTTGTGAGAAGAGCAGCTGCAGCAGACAGACAATCATGTACCTGCTGGAGGCGACCCGGCCATTCTGACCTCAAGCTCATGTCCTTCCTCCCTCATCCTCCTGGGTGCTTTGATTACAAGCAGACACTCCCACGCCCAGTTTCTAAACCCATATGTATTAAGTGCCTAATTGTGAGCTTAGCCTGTGCTGGTTTCCAGAGTCATAAAGTGGGGATGACAAATGCCAGTGTCACAGGCTAGTTTGAAGCCTGTGGCAGCAAGAGACAGTTAGACATCAAGAAGAACTTCTGAGTGGGACAGGTTAGTGGAGTCCAGCAGTGGAGGGAAAGTGTACTCTCCCCACCAGAGGTGTCTTGAGATGGTACAGAGAACATCTGATCTGCGGAGGTGCTTACCACGTTTTGAACGACGGACAAATGAGAGTAAGAGAAGGGAGAAGCTGTATTTTTCCAGCTCAGTTTGGTGTGCTTAGCAAGAGCCCCATAAAATTTACAACTTGCTGATAAGCAGTAGTTTGATTCTCCGACCCAGCAGGTTCCTGCTTGACAGGATTGGAACCAAGAGAAGCTGATGAGAAATAAATGAGACAGGTGCCCAAGTGTCTTCTTTGCCAATAAAAGAAAACCACAGTTTGAAATTGGTCGTGCGCTTGCAGGAAGCAGGAGAAGAACCTGGGGTGAAGGCAATTCTTTCCTGCCTCATCCCCATTAGCAGAAGGCCCCTGAAGGCCGTGGGGTGGCTGGACCCCAGAGCAGCAAAGAGCTGAGCCTGCACTGGCAGACGATTTAATGGGGTCTTGCAAACCCAGAGCTCTAGCTGGGCTCCACAGGCCTGGACTAGCTCGGTGCTTCTCAACCTCTAGGGCCCTCTTTATAATTACTTCCCTTTGCCACATGGGGCCTGAGAATAGATGTCTTGTTAGTGTCCACGGGATACTGGATCTGTGCAGCTCTTGATCAACCTTTAAGGGGTCTTCTGACCCCAGATCTTCCCAACTCTAGCTGGAAGGAATACTGAGGAGGCCCTGGTGCCATTGTAGGAGCTCAGGGAGGGCTTCCTGGAGGAGGAGGTTGGTTTTTGTTTTTAAACTCCTTTGGAGCCCATCACTCAGAACCCAAATAAATACAGACTTAGTCTTGCTTATAAATGGCCTTAGCTTGTCTTGTTTCTAGCCAGCTTTTCTAACTTAAATTATCCTGTTTCTCTTTAAGTTTTGACTCTGGGTTTTTTTTTTTAACCTCTCTTTATTCTATATTCTTTCGTGGCTGGCTGTGTGACTGGGTGGCTGGACCCTGGCATTTCTCTTCCTATTTATTCTCTCTGCCGGGCAACGCTGCCTGTCTCTCTTTCCTGCCTAGCTGTCGGCCATTCAGCTCTGTATTAGAACAATCAGGTGTTTTAGAAAAGCAAAGTAGTAACACAGCTTCACAGAGTAAAACAAACGCAACATAAAATAATGCAACACATCTTTACATCATTAAGCATAAAGGAATGTAACACATCTTAAACTAATATTCCACAACAGGAGGTGCCTATGATGATTGCGAATCTGGGATTTTCCATGTGAAAAAGGAAATGCCCTGGAGGCGAAGGGAGCTGTGACAGGGCAACAGCTGGGCCTAGGTCACAGAAGACTGAACTTGGCCTTCCTGAGGGGCCGGGAGTACAACTGAGGGATGGTAGGGGTCAGAGTTGACTTTTAGGACGAATCTCTTCCCAAGAAAAATTATGCTCATCCCCTCCCCACTGCCAAGTCTCTTCTAGCGAGGAAGGCTGTAGAAAAGACAACCCAAGCCCAGACCAGAAGTGGAGCCCTCTGGCTGGCATGTCAGGCACGCAAGGTTTTGGAGCAGTGTGTAACCTCAGTTGTCCCTCATTGTCTAGACCACTGTCTGCATTGGCCCTGAGGAGGAACAGAGGATGAGAGACCCATTGATGACAGAGGTTGGTGCTGCTGTGTCTTTGGCAAGGAAATAGGCCTGGCCTGGGGAGCCCTGGGACAGGGTGGCACAGTGCTAGCCCCTGGGAGAACCTCTTTCTGAGCTGCTATTTCTCCTTGATAGCTGCAGTATGCCCTGAATCTCTCGATTCTCCTGGCTCTGCTCTCAAGGTTAACAGGATGAGGCCTGTGGACAGCCCCGGAGATCAAAAGGACCAGGACTGGATGGAGCAGTATAGAAGCTAGAAATCACCGGTGTAGGAGCAGGACACTGGCTCGCTGACCCTCAGAGCAGCGTTGCCTCACACATGCCCCATAGGTGGGTGTTTGTCGATTTGTAGCATCCTCAGCCTGCCCAGAGCCTCCAGCAGCTCCTGTGACCCCCAAGACACTACTCTTGACCTGACTCTATACTCCTTTGAGAATTTGTTGAAAGCTCAAAACCCTTGCTCAGCAAAAGTTAAACTCAAATTAAGCAGACAGTTCCTGTAACATTACACATCTGGAAATCAACTGATGGCTTAGTGCATGGCTCAATTTATCTTCCCCAGGTTCTACTATCCCCAAATGCAAGTGGAAGGACCAAGACAAGGAAGTTGCTGCCCCATTGGCACCCTAAAGACAGCCCGGTGATGGAGTCAGGAGCAGGGTGTAGGTTGAGGATAGGCAGACTCGCTTCTGGCTGGTCCCAGCTGCAAATATGGAGCTGGTGGCACAGAGGCTGACTACCCCAGGGTGTGAGGAAAAAGCCATCCCAACATGACTGGACACTTAAAACATTCTGAAAAGGAGCATGGTTGGGAATCAGAGGCAGGGGCATATCTGGGAGTTTGCTGCCAGTCTGGTCTACATAGGGAGTTACAGACCAGCCAGGGTTACATAGTGAGGCCCTGTCCCCAAATAAAGAAATAACATCATGAGATTATTTTTTTTTAAAGTTTTGGTAAGTGAATCACACAGTTCTCAAGTGTAACAATGTGTGTCATGATGTCAAAACCTTGGACACCCTTGTCGCAGCCCACTATATGTATGCATGCAGACGTTGCATAATTCAAAGTGAATTCTGAATACCAGGCAGAGCAAAAGTAAGTTCAGCATAGTATCAAGGAAGACCCAATTGCTGAAGACATGACACACTTTGGTTGCAGGACATATAGAAATTGAGCTGGAAGGAATTGACCCACCCAACTTTCTTAGGGCCAGCAGGATCTATGTAGGCCACTAAGGGCAAAAAGCCATCAATAGTGTTATCCAGAGCTGAACCTTGAATGCTACAATGCTTACCTGCCAGGCAAGAAATGCCCCCTAATGCAATGATGCCATGAAGGCTATGGGGGTAGCCAACTACATTTGCATTGGACTTCGACCTGGTGCACAGGAAAGAATTCATGCTTGGGACTGTATACCTGGACAAACCCATGACATGGGAAGTCATAGATCCTAAGGAGGAACCTACTACTGTAGTATTGCTAACTGGTTATGTATAGATTAGTGCTGCCCTCAACCTTGTTCAGAAAAGCTTCTTTCTGCAGTGGTCAGCAGTTACTGCAGAGACTCATAGCTGGTCAAAATGATGAGAATAAGTGACTATTGAGTGTTCATCACTAAATGGAACATCTATGTCAACTACCTCTACCTCTATCCCTGCCATGGCTCAGGGAACACCTAGAAGAAGAGAAGAAAGGATGTAAGAGCTGGGGGCTGGGGTGGATTGCTGTGAAATGCTGTCTTCTAGACATGACATAGTGTTGCACTCATGAGTACACAGCAGCTACAGTCTCCCACAAAACATCAAGCCAACAAGATCAGTCAACAGTCTAGCAGGCAGCATTAATTATATTCATATTTATTACAAATAAAAAAGAGAGGACATGAAGATAGGAGGAGGGTGTTTTGGGGTTGCCTGGGGAGAACTAAAGGGGGTTATTGGGAGTTGGATCCAACCAAGATACACTATACATATGTCTGAAACTTAGAAAAGAATAAATAAAAGACACCCTATTTTAAAATTTTACTTTATATATTCGGCGTTTTCCCTTATGTATGTTGTGGACCACATGCATAGAGTGTCAAAGAGGTCAGAAAAAGGCATCAGACCCCTCTGGAACTTGAATTGCAAACAGTTGTGAGTCACAATGTATGTGTGTGCTGGGAATCAAACCCAGGACCTCTGAAGGAACAGCCAGTACTTTTAACTGCTGAGCCAATGTAGAGTGAATTCTAATTGGTCTTATCTGGAGTCAGATATCAGGGTAAATGCTGTAAGTAAAGGAGCCAGTCACTAAAATTCTTACATCTATGAAATCCTCAGACCGAAAAGGGGTTGAGCTTCTGTCTCCTCCCACCTTATATTTCTCTCTCTGACCAGTCATATCACTTCCTGTCTCCACCTCACAAGTGCTGGGATTAAGGGTGTGTGCCAACACTGCCTAGCCTCTATGGTTAACTAGTGGCCAACCCCAGTCACCCTCTGATCTTCAGGCAAGTTTTGTTTGCTAGAAAACAAGCAAAAATATCAACCACAAGCTATTTCTCCAGCCCCTTCCACATAGTTCTTATTAGTCTTAGTATCTTTGTGGTGTTGGGAGTGGAATTGGGAACTTTGTGCATGCTGGGCAAGCATTTTTCCAATGAGCCACATCCCCAATCTCTTGTTTTTTTCTGTGTCCCCTCCCTCCCACTCTCCCAAAGGGAAAGAAGAACGATCATCAATGAATGGCAGGAGGCAGCTGCAGGAAAGCCACACTTAGACCAGCTTCACGCTCAGGAGGGAGCTCTACGTCTCGTCCTCATGGTCTCGGGTGCTCTACACAGTCAGAGAAACTTCTCTAGTAATGAACTATAGGAATGGTCCCTGAAAGTATAGTGTTCATCCCCAATCTCTTACTTACTAAAATTCTTGTTAGATTTATTTATTTATTTGGGGGAGGCATGTGTCACAGCACATGTGTGGAGGTCAGAGGACAATTGTGATTGTGGGAGTTGCTTCTCTCTGAACTCAGGGTCAGGCCTGGTGGCAAGCACCTTTACTAGCTGAGCCTTCTCACTGACTCTTCCTTTTAATTATTTTTTTAAATTTCATTTCCATGTCAGTTGTTTGATAAGGTTTCTTTTTTTAAAGGTTTATTTATTTATATTTATTTATTACATATATAGTGTTCTGCCTACATGCCAGAGGAGGGCACCAGATTGCATTGTAGATGGTTGTGAGCCACCATGTGGTTGATGGGAATTGAACTCAGGACCTCTGGAAGAACAGTCAGTGCTCTTAACCTCTGAGCCATCTCTCCAGCCCTTGATAAGGTTTCTTACTGGTGATGTTAACCATGTAAATTTTATGTTGGGGCTTCGATGAACCCTCGATCCTAAATCAAGCACAAGAGAAAGCAATTTGGTCTGGACAAAGCACACATGGATATTTGAGACTATGCTGGCCTCTGTCACTTACTCAGTCCATTGTGGACTAAAATGTCATGACAAAGCAGGTGACAGACAGACTGTAATATACTTAGAACAGTGACTAACCCAGGAGATATGAAACACAAGCTCTTAAGACAGGATGTCATAGCTCTCAGTCTTTCTGACCTCAAGACTGTTATGCTCTTCAAAATAATTGAAGGCCTGAAGGATTTCATTATGTGGATGATAGATATTGATCCTTCCCATATTAGAAATCAAACTAGAACTTTAAAATTGTGTGTGTTCCAGCAGAGGCACGTATGTGCCACCATGAGTGAGCCTTGTAAAGTTAGATGACAACTTGGAAGAATCAGTTCTCTCTTCTGCCCTACGCATCCTGGGAATTGGACTCAGGCTTGTGACCAAGTGTCTTTACCCACCAAGTTATCTCTTTAGCCCTTAGACTTTTAAATTTTACAGCATTATCCTGAGGTGGGAACGATGGCTTGTGAGGACCTGGATTCAGTTCCCAGTATCCACATGTCAGCTCTCAGCCACCTAGAACTCAATTTCCAGGGGATCCAACACCTTTTGCTGATTTCCAAGGGCACCATACACACATGTTGTATACGTACATTTATGTGCAAACACTCAGATAAAATAAAAACAAACTTTAAAGATAAATAAATCCTGACCTATAACATAAATTATATATGTTTATGAAGACACTTGTATTTCTCAAAAGAAAACAATTTACTAAGAGTGGCTGAGTAGCTGTGGTGGTTTAAAAAAATGACTCCCAAAGGGAGTGGCACTATTAGGGGGTGTGGCTTTGTTAGAGTAGGTGTGGTCTTGTTGGAGGAAGTGTGCACTGTGGAGGTGGGCTTCAAGGTCTCATATATGCTCAAGCCACATCCAGTGAGACAGTTCACTTCCTGTTGCCTGCAAGATGTAGGTCTCTCAGCTGCTTCTCCAGTACCATGTCTTCTGCACACCACCACGTCCCACCATGATAATGGACTGAACCTCTGAACTGTAGAGGACCACCCCAATGAAATGCTTTCCTTTATAAGAGTTGCTGTGGTCATGGTGTCTCTTCACAGCAGTAGAAACCCTAACTAACACAGTGGCATTGGTCTGCATGTGTGCAAGCCGCTAGAATATCTCGCTGTGCACAGATGGAATTGTTTGGAGCTTCGTCAGCCTTCTGTCATTGCTTTGGTTGAATATAAAGGAACCTGGGCTTCCACTAAACAAGGAACGTGGAGACATGGAGAGACCCAAGGGTCCTGGGCAAATTCTGGAATTGCTGTGTTCATGTAAGGCAAGTGACCCAGAGCTCTGCAGCTGTTCCATTGTGAAGGATACTGCTCAGATCTACATGTCAGCTCATTGTGCCTCATTTTATTGTGGAGTGCCTAGAGCTCAGTAAGCCCTGATGTGATAACTGCAGTCCTGTATGGTTGGTGTGGAGACTGTCTCCAGAAATGCCTCACTAGAAGACTTATTAATGGGAGAACATCATAGCCACATCATGAATATGATGACATTGCTAGGTGATGTAGTCATTCTTTAAAGATTTCTTATTATGTATGTGTAGAGGGACATCGTGTACATGAGTTCAGAGCACTTAGAGGTCAGAAAAGGGTATCAGATCCCCACTGGACCTGGAGTGACTGGCAGTTGTGAGCAGCTTGACGTGGGAGCTGGGAACCCTATTTGGGTCTTCTGTAAAGAGCAGCATTGCCCTGATACAATATCTTATATTTTAATTTTCTCCTTTATTTAGTAATTCTAAGGATGGGATCCAGAACATCACACTTGCTAGGCAAGTGCTCTGCCACTGAACCACACCTCCATCTTCCAGGTTATATAATCTGGAGGGACAACAGTAGAACCTGCAGCTAGCTAGCAAGGGGTGGACCTCCCCTCTGTTTACATGGCACATGGCTGTTTTCGGCCCAGGGCCTGACATTGCTGTCCAGTGTTCTTCCCAGGTCAGAATCCACTTACAGCATCCACGACCTTCCAGGAATGATCCCAGGGTTCCATGCCCTCTGGGGCCTCCCCAGCCCCTTGAACTCTTCCCAAGGGTGCCTGGCAGAGTCACGGCTATGCCCTGTGCCCCCCCACTCCCTGGCCGTAGGCTCAAAGCAGCATTCTAGGACCCGTGCCAGTCCCTAGTACGTCACATTGGGCGTACCTGCATGTGCCTGGACACTCTTCTCCCCAGCATCTGGTGATTAGGAAGTCATTCTCCATGTGGGACGAGATCTAATCAGCCTGCCGATAATCACCAAGCCCAGAACGTGGCCGCAATTCAGGAAAGACGATCCCCGAAGACAAGCACCACTTAAATCCTGGCACTGACCACAGTCCCCTTGGTAACCCGTGCTTCTGAGCACGATTTAGCCAGTGAACTAATTGATGTTCTTCTGGACAGTCAGCTCGTGCCCGGCAATTGAAATGGACGCTAATTGCTGACATCCTTCAGGTAAGAAGCCCTTCGTGTTCTCGGGCCACCCAAGAGGCCCAGAGCAGGAACTGAGTCGCTCAGCAAATCAGTACCATGATTGCAAATAATTAATCGAAACAAGGTTTGCAGAAAGAATTAATTACAGAACCTATCGGAGGAAATGGTGGCTTCACTGGATGGGAGAGGCTGCCTCCTCCTGGAGGTGCTAGCTCCCTTCTCACAGAAGCTCCAAACAAAGACATAAGTAGTACAAAAATACAGGTTCTTGTTGTTGTTTCGGTTTGGTTTTTGGTTTTTCAAGACAGGGTTTCTCTGTATTGTTTTGGAGGTTGTCCTGGAACTCACTCTGTAGACCAGGCCGGCCTCGAACTCAGAGATCTGCTTGCCTCTGCCTCCTGAGTGAGCCACCACGGTCTGACAATAGTAAACAGTTTTTGAAGCACTTGGTGTACTTGAAGTTTTACAGAACTAGACTGTGCCGTTATGGTTTTTAAAAAATTAATTGCATTTTTTTGGTGTGTAGCTGTGCTCCTGCACTTGTGCCAAGGCACACATGGTGGTAAAAGGGCAACTTTTGGAAGTCAGTTCTCCACCATGTGGGTCCTGGGATCAAATTTACATCATCGACTCGATAGCAAGCTTCTCTACCCACTGAGCCATCTCACTGGCTTTGGACTGTGCCCTTTATAAGTCAAATCACCTCTCTGAGCTAGATATTTGTCATTTTTTTAAAGGAGGGGGTTATCAGTCAGCATTCTTTGGTGGTAACAAAGTGCCTGCGATAATAAATTTATATGAGGAAAAAGTTTGTTCAGCTTAGTTTTGGAGGTTCTGGTCCATGATCCCTTGGCCCAAATCTTTTTGCTCTTATGGTGAGGCATGGAGCAGCCCAAAGTCCAAGAAGTAATGAGAGAGAAGAAAGGCCCCTGGCTCCCAGAATCCTCGTGGAAGGCATCCCCTCAGTGACCTAAGGACCTGCTACGGGGCACAATTTCTTAAAGGTTCTCCCTTCTCTCTGTAGCACCACTGTGGGACCATACCTTTAACTTGCAGCCTTCGGGATGGACATTCGAGATCTAAGGGAGCTGATGAAACGGCTCAGCAGGTAAAGGCACTTGCTGCCAAGCTGCACAACCTGAGTTTGATCCCCAGGCCCCACATGATAGAAGGAGAAAACCTGCTCCTGAAAACTGTCCTCTGACCTCTACAAGCATACAGTAGTGTGCACACCCCTCCCCTACACACACACACACACACACACACACACACACACTCACACAATTAAATTTTAAACCATTAAGATCTGTGAGGGTATAAATCAAAGCTAGAAATAGCCTTGCACAGGACCCTGGATCACTGTAGCTCTTTAGCGTCACAGGGCAGAGGAGAAAGCTAGTGTTCTCTGAGGGGTGTGTGTGTGTGTGTGTGCCCTTGACTATCAATGGACCTTCTTTCAAGAAGCAGCTTCACAGGGCCAGCTGGTTGTGGTCAGGGGATCACCAGAGAGGAGCCCTCAGCTTCTGACTGGAGGAAACTGGGAGACATATTCCCAGCTTCCTCAGTTTAATTAAGCTGGACAACTCTGAGGAATGGTCTGTCTCTCAAGAGTCCCCAAAAAGATGGAATTCCATTTCCAACCTGCTTATTAATACAGCCTGGATTCTTCCATCCCCTCGCTTCCACTCCCCTCCCCCTTCCCTTCCCTTCCCCTCCCCTCTCCCTTCCCTTCCCTTTCCTTCCCTTCCCATCTGTCACCAACTCCAGACCACTGCTTCCTGGGATTGATGTCCATATACGTAAACTGTGTTCAAATCCTTGTCTGAGGGCTGGTGCTGGGGACACCCAGTCTCAGACAGGTGCAGTTATAGACTGTGATAACTGTTTTGAAGGAGAGGGTCTCAGGGCTGCAGTGTCACATGCTGACCAAGTGATGGCTGAAGTGACAGCTAAGGACGAGCAGGCAGATCATTAGGACAGCACAGTGAGGCATGGTATCCAGAAAGCAGGAAGTGGAACCCAGCCTGGCAGCACTCAGATCTCCCACTCCTGAGCCTTACAGATGCAGAGAGTCAGAATCTGGACATTCTGATCGGTCAGGGCATGTGTGCTGATTGACTCATGTCTGCTGAGTGATTTGAATATTGTCCTTGGAACTGGGTGCTTGTCATTGTTTTTCAGGGGCAGCAAGGGAAAGGGGTTGGCAATGGCAGCTGGGCTGATGGAGCCATATTTCAGGAGCCACCATGGGAGTGGAGAGAAGGAGACAGATCTAGAGGCCATTAATGTATTCATGTTGTATGACTGACAAGTCAAAGTCAATCACTGTACCAATTAGAAAAGCCATTTAATAGGTTACTGAGGCTAGAGAAGAGAGTTCAGCAGCTACTGCACTTGCTGCTCTTGCAGAGAACCTGGATTTGGTTCCCAGCACCCACAAGTCCCAGGGGGCCTGGTGCCCCCTTCTAACTTCTGTGGGAAGCAGCTAGGCACATGGTACACAGACATACATGCAGGAAAAACACACACTGGTCTTCTTGGGCAACCCAGTAGGACGGTCTTTAAAAAACAACAGTTACAAAAAAATTAACAAAGTAATGTATACTTCAAATGGGTCCAAGAAAGGGGTGTGTGGGGCACACACACACACACACACACACACACACACACACACACACACACACACTTCATATATTCAATTTGGTGGTTTGTTTTTGCTTCTGTCTTTTTACAAGACCTTTGCTGCCCCGGCTGTCACCCAATTCCTGGTCTTCAGGGAGCCTCCTATGTCACCCTCCCACAAGATGAGACTACAGGAATCCACCATTTTACACTATGGCTGCAGAGTGCTGGAATTGGAGCTTCATGCAAACCAGACAATGCTCTACCAGGGAGCTACATCCTTAGCCCTAAAATAGTTACATTTTGTGATAGAGTGCCCATCAGCACAAGAGAGTACTGTTGGCTATAAAAAAGGGAGTACTGATATGTGCGGTAACATGAGTGGATTTTTAAAATATTGTGCTGGGCTCAGTAGTAGAGTGCTTACATGTGAAGAAGGGTCCTGAGTTCAATGCCTAGTACCAGAATCAACCAATCCATCAACCACACATACTGCAGACCTGAAACTGGCCAGAAAGCTGTCATCAGCAACTAACTTCAGAGTCAAGTTGGGGTTTGTACAGTAGAGAGCTACTGCATCCATACCTCATATCAGGATAGCTCTGTTTTTACATCCAAAGTCTTTGTGAAACTCCACAATCTCTTTTTTAAAAGTTTAAAGTCTCATCGTGTTCACCATGGTTTATGAATGAGCTTTGGGAGCCCATTCCAAATAGAGGGCTGCTTTCTCAGCTGGACATATGGGGAAGGGCCTAGGACCTGCCCAGGATGAAATGACAGACTTCAGAGATCCCCCCAAGGAGGATCTCACCGTCCCTGGGGAATGATGTGGGGATTGAGTCGGGGGTTGGGGGGCTGATGGAGGGACAAGGGAGGAGGGTCTGGGAGAGGGAGCTGGGACTGACATGTGAAACATTCACGTTTCTAATTTAAATAAAAACATATTTTGAGAAAAAAAGTCTAAAGTCTCTCAACTGTGGGATCTATAAAATTAAAAAAATAAAACAAACAAACAAACAAACAAAAACTTTTTCAAGAGGGTAGAACCAGGGCACAGTCACAATTTGAACAATGCAAAATAAACTCCAGTAGTGTAAATAACTCAATGTCAGCTGGGCAGTGGTGGCGCACACCTTTAAAATCCCAGCACTCAGAAGGCAGAGGCAGGTGGATTTCTGAGTTCAAGGCCAGCCTGTCCTGGTCTACAGGGCAAGTTTCAGGACAGTCAGAGCTACACAGGTAAACCCTGCCTCAAAACAAACAAACAAACAAACAAAACCCCAACTCATGATCTTCTGGGTTCCTCTAAGGGTCTTGAGTCACTTCTCTGGCTCTGTCCCCTGCAGCACACTTAGAGCTTGTCTTCTTAGCCTAGGCAGGCTACACCCCGCTGTGGTGGTCATCCAATGGCACCGATATTTTCAAATGCTTGGGTTTAGACTGCAGCTGGGCTGCACTTTCACCATAGCCTCTCTTGGACTTTCTTCATGGTACCATGCCTAGACTTTTCTTCATGACCCTTCAATCCTGGATTTCAAATGCTACTGAGGCTGCACCTTCGCCAACCATCTCTCCTGGCCTTCCACAGTGCTGAGCCTTCCATGACCCTTACAGGCCTTCAAAAACAGTGCCACTTGGAAGACTCTTACACATTACCAAGTTTGGCTGCCAGCGCAAGGTACAGCCTAGACCACCTCTAGAAAACATTTTCTGTGTGCTGACTCTCAGGAAACACTTCCCAGAAGGTTCTACCTCCATGGGGCTGGCCTCCCCTTTATCACTGCCCAGTTTTTAGCTCCAGCTGACCAGTATAAATATCCCAGAAAAACGAAAGTTTCACTTCAGTGGTTCTGGTCTCTTGTTAATAATGGCTGATTCTTCAGTCCCAGCTGACCAGATACCACATGTTCTTCACACAAATGATCCAGTACATTCTTTGCTTCCCTCTGAAATATAAACCAGGCCTCCATCATCTGCATTGTTCTCAACATTCTTTTTGTTTTGAGACAGTGTTTCTCTGTGTAGCCTTGGCTGTCCTGGAACTCCCTCTGTAGACCAGGCTGGCCTCGAACTCACAGAGATTTACCAGCCTCCACCTCCCAGAGTGCTGGGATTAAAGGTTTACACCACCACTGCCTGGCTGCTCTCAACATTCTTATCTCATAAACTCCTAAAGAACAGCTCACTGAGCTCTCAATACTCACGGCTTTTCTAGCTCAAAGTCTTGAAGTCCTTATACAATCTTGCCCAAAACAACATAGTCAGAACCGTCACAGCAATACCCCATGAACATGTTCTAATTAGTGTTACTATTGCTGTGATGAAATACCTTTATCAAAAGCAACTTGTGGAGAAAAGTGTTTGTCTTATACATCCTAAGTCATAGTTCATTGTGGGAAGTCAAGGCAGAAACTCAAACAGGACAGGAACCCAGAGGCAGGAGCTGCTAAGAAGGCCATGGGGTACTGCTTACTGGCACATTCCTCATGGCTTGTTCAGCTTGCTTTCTTATACCAAGGACCACCTGTGTCCAGGGGTGGCCCCACCCTAAATGGGATGGACCCTTCCCAACCAATCACCAGTTAAGAAAATGTGCGTGCTCACGTTTAAAGGCATTTTCTTAACTGAGGCTCCCTCTTTTCAGATGACTCTAGCTTGTGTCAAGTTGACAAAACTAGCCAGCACAACCACTGAGTCATCCTACAGCCCCAGGGGCTCAAAGCTTCTGTGTGGAAACTGGACCGAACCTGAAAGAGTTGGACAACAGAAGACCTGGTGTTCATTCCCTCGGTGACGGAAGAGTGGGAGAGGGGAGAGAGGCTCCCACACATTTCTGGTCTTACATACTCCCCCAGAACATGCGGTCTCTGCCGCGAACCCTAGTTGATGTCCTACCCTTTTGCCTTGGATGCTTTTTCTCCATTGAGACTTGGGCTTAGTGATTTCCTCCTTCCTCCAGGAAGGCCTCTCTGCTTAGCCAGTTTCTCCTTCCTTCTCAGTTCCCAGAACCAGTGTTTCTCATGCCAAACTGTCCTCTTCTGTTCTCTCATCTTGTTTTTCCACTAGTGGAAACTAAAGTAGAAATGACTTGAAGCTTGTAACTTCCATGTGATGAAGGTATTTATCAAACACCTTCTTTGGGTCAGGCCCTGATCAAGAAGGCTTCGATGGGGAACAAAAGTTGAGGATTTTTGTGTGGTGGGAAAAGGCAGGCTGTGTTTGTTGCTATTAAGTCTGGCAACACTTTTTAGTGACTGGTGACTTATGTTATGATTGTTTGTTTCTTGCACACCTAAGACTGGCATAGTGATTCGTCTAACTCCCATTAGGTGAGACCAGGATCTCAAATCCTTCTATGTCCTCTGGTAACTACACAGGAAGCCTCAGCCACCAGAAAAGCAAGAGTTAAGAGAGAATGTCCCACACAAGTCATTTGGACAAGACGAGAAGCGTTATTAATAGCTCATTGGCCAGAATTGACCACGTGACTCCCCTACCCACAAAGGAGGCTGGGAAATGATGCCAAACGTAGAGCGTCTCCCCTCCAACATTAGCTTAGATCGAGCAAGGTATGTGCGGGAGTCTCAGGCTGCAGGAAGTGTCCACATACACCCAAACAAAGAAGTTGAAGTCAGTTAAAGGTTGTACAGGAGCCAATTACTTCACTTAGTAATATCACCTAGGGCTGTGAGGCATGACAATTAAGTCCCTGTTCAGGGACAGGGTTCATGGATAAGGTGTCAGGTGGCTTCTACTTGTCCCCTCCTAGCCTTCCTCCCAGGACTGACTCCCTAGTTTTAGTCACAGTAACATGTACCCACCTCCCCCAACCAGGTAGACTCAAGACTCCACTGCAGCCATCAATGCCTGTCCTTCCCCTTAATCTCCACCCATCACATCCAACTCCAGAGCCAGACCAGACCCTTTGCCAGAATAACTAAGACTAAAGGACTGTCCTCTGGGCGGAGCTTGTGACTGGGTGCCATCCCCAAAACCCCAAAGGAAAAACCACAATCTAGACAGAAGAGCAGAGCAATAGATAACCTGGATACATGTTTTATTATTGTTGACATTAACAAGAGCAGGGGTATATACAAGATGTGATCCCCCCAGGGCATGCCTGAATATCCCAAACTGCTCACTCTCGGCCCCCAGCCTTGGCATTGTTGCGTGCTGAAATTATACCAGGTCAGTCTTGCCACATAGGGTAGAAGATGGAAATTGGATTTTAATACCAAAACTTTTCAACTCCACCCTTTCTGAGGAGGTCCCTTGGAAGGTTGGGGACAAGTAGAGCTTTTCCTTCCTCTTTGGGGTCCTTGGAGTGGGTAGGGAAGAGGATTGGATGCTAGCTGTGTACAGAGGGCTCGGGTTTAACGTCTAAGGGAGGAAAAGGAGATGGGGCAGAGCACACGGGGCTTCAGTCATCCTAGATTTAAAGCCTGGCTGACTCTGGGCTTAGTCCTGGAAGAGAGGCTCCCTGTCCCAGGCTTCCAGCTGTGGACTCTGCTTCTCCAGGGTCTCCTGTCCCCTGCTCAGGTCACCTAGGAACTGGAGCAGGTCTGTTTGGCCGCAAGTCCCCTGGGGCCCACAAGGTTGACCCAATGCCCTCTTGCCAGGATGCTGGCGTTTCTCAGGCATTGGAATACCCTCTCCCTCTTCTTTTTCTTCCCAGCTTCTTTGAAACTTGGGATCTATGAACCTCCGGCCTGGATGCTGCCTCTTGGTGACATCAGACTCCATCCAGGGGAACGATCTCCGTCCAGGGTGCTGCCGCTTGACTTGGTCTAAGTACCAGGATTCCAGAAAAAAAACCTGGTAACCTGGTTGTTGGCACCCAGTTGCTGTCCTCTGCTTCTACCCAGGAATACTTATCCTGGTTGGCACGGCGGCCAGGGTGCTGTCGTTTGTGGGGACTCCAGGCTCCCTCTTCTCCCAAGTCCCCCCCCTCTTCAGCTTCAATTTCTTCTTCCTCCTCCCTTTTGCCTGGATGCTGACGTTTTGTGATCCAGGAGTCTGGAGAAGAAAAAGCCAGTGTGGGAGAACCTGGCCCCTTCATCAGGAACACTTGCCTGCAGGCCACGACCCACCCCAGGCTTCCTCTCTGGCCTAGGGTTTCTAGCAGCTCCCCCCCCCCCCATTGTCTGTTCCTGAGGACTTATATGGACACCCCCACCCTCATGGTCAAGGGCATTGCCTCTGGCTTCCAGTCCCAGCTTCCTGCTTCCTTGCTGGGTGACTTGAGGCTCTCTGAACCTCAGTTCAGTACAAAATGGCAGTGTGTCTTTATGGACAGGGTGATACATACAAGTGCTTAGTAAACGGTAATTAAAATTGTCACAGATAAGGACCACATAAAAATTTGACTACGGAAAGTCTGTTTCCTGATTGTTCCTAGCACTGAGAATTATTGGGGTCCCAAAGGCTGGTCACCTCTCCACCCTGTTGAGGAAGTGGCTATGAGACTGTCTGAATTTGTCTGGAAGGGGCATGACCGGTGGCTCCCCCAGCCCTCACATAGTTCCCCCTGCCCCCATGTTTACCTAAGGCTGCACCCAGGTCCCCTCGCACCCGCTGGAGGTCTTTCTGCAAGAATCGACGTTCTGGCAGCATCTGGACTACACCCTCCTCCTGGTCGGCCACCGGCAAGGCGCAGAATTCAGGGATACCAGTTAGGGTGAAGATCAAAGCCAGAGGCAGCAGCAGCCAAGGGTCCGGCATCGTGGCAGCTAGGGTCAAGGGCAATGGGAACAAGGTGAATGCACCGTGCTGCTCTGGGATCATCGCCCCCCCCGAACAGAGTCACCCGCCAGTTGTCTGGAGCCTCTGGCAACTCTCCTGGTCCACTAGGGTGCCAAGCCAAGAGGCGGTGGAAACCCCTCTGTCCCCGCCATCCCTTATTGTCTTCCAAATCTAGGGAAGTCAGCGTTGCCTTTGGGGTTGATATCCCCATCGCCGTGTACCCACCAAGGTTGCAGCGGTGGCCAGAGAAACTAAAGCCATCGCGGCTAAAATAGTTTCAAGGTTCCATCTACATCCTAACCCCAACCCTCCTTCCTTACTCCAGAGCTGAGATTCTGATTGCCGCACAAACTCCTCGTGCAACCCTATGCTCGTGTGTCTAGACTAAACCAAGACTCTCATTGGAAGCCCACTAACTCGGGTGGGTTCGATCGTCTTGGCGTGGAACTGCTGGTGGACCTCTTCCCTCTTCTATCCAGCGCTCCGGGTGCCCCGGTCAGTGCGCCCCGGGAAGGCGACGGGACGGGTGAAGCGGGGGACACCTGTTTAGGGTCCCAAGTTCGGAGGCATTACCTGCGAGGTGGGGACTCCGCTGAGCAGTCGGAGATGCTGAGCTGCAGAGTGCAAACTGGCAAGGTGGAGTTTGCAGCGATAAGGGATCCCGCGTTGACTGTAGGCTCTTCCGAGGGGCTGTGGCTTATATGCGCTCGCGATGCGGCCGGCGCCCGTGAGGTCAGCGGGGAGGGGGCGCAGACCGAAGCCAGGGGTGCTGACGGCAGAGGCGGGCACCCGCCCTCTTTCCGGAAACTCGGAGGGGGCCGAGCAAGGAGGCGCGGCAGACGCAGGTTGGTGGCTGCACCAAGCTCTGGTTGGTCTGTTGACTAAAAGAACATTGACTTGGGAACAAAGGGAGGGACAGACATCCGGGGAGTAACCGAAGATGGAAAGGAGTCAAGAAAAGGGGGACCAAGAGACACATGCACACAGACACCAAGAAACGAGACATGCAGGGAGTGAGCGACAGGAAAATGGTAGTGACTAGTGGCACCTGGTCTTGACTGTGTCCCTGGCCATGTTCCCCTCCCAGTTTTCTCATCTGTGCATTGGGAGAGAGCAAGGCAGAACACCGTTCCACAATAATGCCTCTATGGCTACAACCAGCTCGTGGGACTATTTGGTTCAACTCTCAAATGTCCTGAAAATATCTGAATAGACATCAAGTTGGATGTTAAGAACGACGTTGGGGGCCTGTGAGATGGCTCAGGGGGGTAAGGGTGCCTGCTACCAGGGCTGACCACCTAAATGGATTCCAGAAGGTTGTCCTATGACTTCTACACAATGAGGACAGTGACACTCACAAACCCCCACCTTAAATAATTAAATGTTTAATAAAATGAGTAATAAAAGGAACAAAATTGGCTTCTCTAGAAAACGAGTGGACCCACATAATCTCCCTGACCTCAGCCAGCTGGGACTGAGCCAAGGTGTTCCTGGTAACCATGCTTCTCACCTCTCCCTGTGGTCTCCAACTGTGCTGCCTAGCCATCCCCAGAAGGACATTAGAGCCACTGACAACCTCACACTCTGATTCCTCAGTCTGCTAGTATTCTGGCAAGGGATTTCAAAGGCATCCAAATGTTGCTCCTGATCCTGGTAGATAGAGGCCAGAACTTTCTGGGCATTCCCTCATCTACCAGTCATCTCATTACACCTTCTTGTCACCAGCAGGAGAAAAACAAGACACAAGTTGGGGAGTGATGGTTCCACTTCACAGATAAGAGTCAGGAGGGAAAGCCACCGAAGGCAGAGGTGGGAGGGAATGTTTAGATTTCAGCTAGAGTCCTTGCTTTGGTTTCAGATGAGGACACTAAAGGTCTGGGGGGGCCATGGTCTGATTCACCTTCCTGACCACCAGGCACCTCTGTCTCTGGGTCATGAGAGTATCATCAGGCAGATGGGAAACCTAAGACCCCAGTTTGACCCCTGCTTCCCAGCCAGACTCCAGGGATTGAAGAATTTGTCTCCCTGCCTGCTTTTTCCTGGTTGGTTCTGATCTTGGCTATTCTGATTCTGAGCAGCTGTGACCACCCACAGGCGACTCTCACCAACAGAGGTTAACATGCTCTGTCTGGGGGCTGGAGGTTGCAGTGTAAGTTGCTGCCACGGTACTTCCAAGCTGTCTTTGACGCACCCATGCTTCACTATGTAACCCCAATAAACTCCTTCGTTGGCCAAGCTAGGCCTTTCTTTGACCCATTGGTACCTCTATATCTAGGGTGAAACAATGTTTCTCTCGCCAGGAAAAAGTCATGTGACACCAGCTACTAAGCCGTCAACCTTGCAGACCTGCTTTCCTATGCAAGTAAGAATGGACCCTTAGCCATAGATGTGAGCAGTTACCAGGGTGTTTCTCTCCACAAAGACAATTCGCCTGTGCAGATTCTCCAGCCTGTGTTGGGGAAGTCTTATGCTAATAAAGCACTGTCTGGCCAATAGGAATCTAGATAGGAGGGACTAGGAGTCCAGGAGAACTCTGGGAAGGAGAAAGACAAGAGAGTCGACATGTGACGCCATAGGGGTAAGAAGCCGGGAACTATTCTCCGGTAAGAAACATACTTAGATTAACAATTATGGGGTAATTACTTAAGGCAGAGCTAGCCAGTAAGGGACAAGCAAGGCCAACAGCTTCATAATTAATATAGCCTCCTGTGTGTTTATTTGGGACTGATGCGGCTCTAGAACCATGCTGGCGCGGGAGAGCCCAGGCAGCTGGCGGGAGATAAACCAAAGCGGCTAGCAAGGAAAAAGCTTCTCTTAACAAGCCTGTGCCTGAGGAAGCCATTCAAGGGTATCTTCTAGAAGCCATGACTGCAAACAGCCAGGAAAATGTGTGTGCAGGACAGACCACCAATGAACCACTAAGCCTCTTTACACAGAGAATGGACTGGAGAAAGGGAGGTGGGGTGAGCTTTAGGCCAGGATCAACACACAGCATGATGCAGGGGGCTTGTTTTTCACTGTCAGTCCTAAATGAGTTTACATCGTTTTTTTCTGTGTGGCTGCATATATTCATAGAGAAATAGCACCAAAAATCAAAACAATAACCACAGCAAAACCACAACCCAAGACAGGGATAGAAGACATGGTGACACATGCCTTTAATTCCAGCACTTGGGAGGCAGAGGCAGGCAGATATCTGAGTTCAAGGCCAGCCTGGTCTACAGAGTGAGTTCTAGGATAGCTGAAGCTACACAGAGAAACCCTGTCTCCTAAAAACAAACAACAAAAAGACTAGGATATGAAATGCTGCCTGGCAGAAGGCCTAGTAGCTAGGACATCGCACCCGGGTGAGCCTGTTGCTAGGTTGGCCGAGGTGGCAGGAGAGAAGAGGGGTATTCCTAAGAAGCCCCAGGAACCAGAGTGGATGAACTTTGACCTTAGCTTTGACCCTCAGGGGCTTGCTGATTTGGGGGAGGTCACCCCTCTAGGATTAACCTAAGGAGACCCTTTCATATACAAAATGATCCAGCCCAATGATCTTTCCCAGCCCTTGAAGCTCAGGTGTTCTAAACCACTTTCACCTGCGCTGACAGTTAAGGCACATACTGGAAGACAACTATTACAGTGTTTAGTCCCAGCTCTGAAGGGACCAAAACTGGCCAATCCTAAACCTGCTGACCCTTCCTTGACTAACCCTTCCCATAGCCACATTCATCCCCCCACCAGCTTCGCCTTCTGATGAGCCCTGGTGCTTCCCTGTGCAGCACCCCAACTGTTCTGCTCATTTCCTCATATCTATCTATATGTTTTAGTTTGAGACAGGGTCTTGCTATGTAGCTAAAGCTAGCCAGGTATTATTAGCCCAGCGAGGCTTCCAATTTGAGATCACAGGACTGTGCCCCCATAGCTGTTTACAAAACGTTCAGTCGTACCTATGTCCTCCTGACCTGCTGGTTTCACCGTACGGGAATAATTCAACCTACATTTTCACAGCAAATCCTGACCCCACATGTTCTCTGTCCTACCTTTCTCCTGGGGATCCAACCCAAAAGCTCTCCCATTGAACTTTTGAAAGTGAATAATGGCATTATTCAGTGGTAAACAGGAGCCCCTGTTCCTAGCCACCAGAGCCCTAATGCATACCACTTCAGGTATGTTAAGCCTGCATGTCCTTAGGTGGTCTGACAATCAGCAAGCCTGGAGCTCACTAAGGATGGCCTCTTCCCCCACAATCAGCTTTGGGCCGTACCTCTTAGTTTCCAGTGAAGATGCTGATTGTTAGAAAAGGGACAATGAGACAGTTATCCTTCTTAGAATTTGAAATGCCCTGAGAAAGGATAGAGGCAACATCACAATTGTCCCTCCCTGAGATTACAAATAGCATAAGAAAGGGGAGAAGAAACTGCTGGGCTTTGTGGAGGAACTTTAAGGAAAAGCCATTTCCTCCTGGGAAAACATGGCTTCTTTGGATTTCCTTTTTATCTTCTTTTAATCCTGATCAAAAGAAGAGAATCTGGGTCCTACCACTGGCCCCTTTAGATGGACAAAGACATGCTTTTGTCCTTTACCTTAGGAGTTAACCCCACTGGCTCACTGCCCAATGGGAAAGCTGAAGATGCTGGTAAGGAGGGGGCAAGACTCTCTCTGGAGGACCAGTGTTGTTTATTGTTTATGTAGTCTGGAAGTCCTTGCCCTAGCCCACAGGTCCTTCAAGCCCAGCTTGTCTGCTGCTCTGAGTTCTAGCTAAGGGCTCACATTTCCCTTCCGTGTTTACCCGACACTCTATGGTGGGTATTCTCTCTCCCTCTGTCTCTGTCTGTCTGTCTGTCCCTCCCTCCCTTCCTCGATCCCTCTCCCTCTTCTTATCTCCCTCCTTCACCCATCCATTTCCCACATAGGTGCCTAACCTGTCTCTGGACTTGGACTGTACCTTTCTCTCTTCCCATCTCCTTCCTCTTAGTGATCTCCAGATTGCCCTGTTTTCCTCTCTAACCTTAATAAACTGGTCCTGCTTCCGTCTGAGTTGGTGTCATTGTTTTTTAAACCTTTGAGCCTAAACTAGCATGAGGGGATTTCCAGTGACACTAGGGCAGTGCTAGCTTCCACCTCTGTTCCCCCAGCCTTTCCTCTCCCTTGTTCATTGGTTTCTTGAAGATACCACACACTCTCTCTCTTTTTTTTTTTTTTTTTTTTTTTTTTGGTTTTTCCAGACAGGGCTTCTCTGTGGCTTTGGAGGCTGTCCTGGAACTCACTTGGTAGTCCAGGCTGGTCTCGAACTCACAGAGATCCGCCTGCCTCTGCCTCCTGAGTGCTGGGCTAAACGTGTGCGCCACCAACGCCCGGCAAGATACCACACTCTTTATCAACCCTGAGCAGAAATAAGCGCCTGCAGCAGCTCCATCTGGCCTACCTGTTAATTTTGTAAATGGTAGGATTTTTAAAAGATTTTTTTATTATTTTAAATCATATTCATTGTGTAGGTGTGTGTGTGTGTGTGTGTGTATGTGTGTGTGCGCACGAGGGTGCCAGCGGATGCCAACAACCTGCAGCTGGAGTTTCGAGCATTTGTGGGTCTTTGCATGGGCGCTGGGAAGTGAACTTATTTGCAAGAGCAGTAAATGCTCTTAATCACTGAGCCATCTCTCTAGACCCAATGGTAGGGTGTTTTGATGGTTTGTTTTGTTTTACAATTTTTATATTGTGCATGAGAATTCCTGGAGAGAAACTGTGTCTGCAAAGGCTTGTTGATTGAGTAGAACTGACATGATGTGGATAGGTTGCAGTATTTCAGGTCCAGGGTCTAATTACAATTTACCTTGGCTTTAATCCCCTAAATAAATATTCCTTCCCACTTCCATGCCAGACCCAACACCCTGTGACT